CAGATGGTGCTATGATGGTGTAAAACATAATTTCCGAAAGGTATCTAGTAAAGGGCATACAAGTGTATTCTTGTATATAGTAAATAAATGGTGAACACTGACCCTACCGGGAATAGCCCTGTATCACATTGGTAGTAATTTCAACAATACAGCTTTTATCGCTAGTTTCGAAATATACGTCATATTGAAAAAGCGCCTTTAACGATTCGACGTCACTCTCGACATTTTCATTTTTCATTCTAACACGCTTCACATTGTTCTCTAATCAAACAGATAGGGAGAAAGATTTATGATACCTTAAGAAAATGTCAGCCCATTTATTTGTGCATGGAACATTATCCCAACTTCCCCTTTGGTTAAAAATAAAAATGGGTCTTTCTCATTGCCAATGGCGCCAGCATCTTGACAATGTCTTGATCAAATTTGAATAAATGTTAGTATTTAAGTTTTAACCAAGCTCTTCGATTCCAAAGGGGAGGTTGAGACAATATCCCGTGCACGAATAAATAGGCAAACATTTTCTTTACAGTATATCTTAGTTCACATCTCCAATTTATAGCTCACCAGAGCCGAAGGCTCAGGGTGAACTATTAGTATCAAAGGGGGATACTCCGGCGTCCGTCGTCATGCGTTAACCATTGTCTTCTTCTCTGAAACTGCTGGGCAGATTTACTTCAAATTAGGTCTGTAGCATCCTTGTGACAGTCACACGTTAATTTGATCATGTCATTTCAATTGGTTCATTTTAGGGGTCAACAGAGCTAAAAATAGAAAAACCTTTAAACATCTACTTCTACAGAACTAATGGATGGATGATCACCAAAGTTTGTCTGTATCATTATTGGATAATCTTTTATCAAGTTTGCTCATATTAATTTGATTGGCCCCTTTTTGTCAACCCCAGCACATGTACTTATTATTCATTGATAAAAAATATAATATTTTTAAGCCGTTTTAAAAAAAATCATATTTCAATGTTTATAATTATTATAGAGTTGAAATATGATTTTTTTTCCAAAACGGCTTACATTAATTATATATATAAATGATAAGAACATGTGCGGGGATTGACAGATATACATTTTATTTGTAATTTAAATGCGTTTTGAGCTCCACACCCCAATTTTAAGTGGCTGTGACATAGATGTTTAAGCTTTTTGGACACACGGATGCAATTAGATAGATTATTTTGAGCAGCTTTTATTTGTCCCCTTAGAAAGTGTCTGTGATCTTTGTAAATTTGTCATACCATTATTGTTGTAAGAATGATTTTATTTTTATAACATTATCATTGCAAAAGTTAAAGCATTATTCTTAAACTTCATTGCTTCAAAGTGATGTCCATTTTGTCCAGATGTATATATTCTTCACAATTACAGGGTCAAGTTAGTCCAATATATACATGTATTAGACGTTAACGGCTTTATTGTTTATGATGGTCACGCCAACGCAAAGCAGTAAACATATCTCAAAGCAACGTCATATTTATAAGACTTGCGTCAAACGACGTATGGCATAGCGTACTTCAAGGAAAACGGATATGTACTTATCTTATTTCTATGTAAACTACGCATTTCTTTTTATTATCGACTGTTAATTTAATTACTTGTAATCAACTCTCGTGATACTTCAAGGGATGGTGCGTTTTGAATCTATTCGTTATTCAATATGCACTTTTGATATGATACAGCACAGACACGTGTTGCTAGTTCTTGATGGTTTGTAGAACTGAAATTTAATTGAATGTAACGATTTTTTAACGTAGATGTCTCGATTTGAAAAAAAACGTTTATCGTTCGATATGCTTCTATGAAAAACACTAGCAATACGTACCATTCCGCGGCTCTATCCGGTCGCTTGCACATAAGCTACACTAAAAAGTGAACAATTCTGATTCGTGACATATTCCCCCGCTATATTGAAATACGTCCTCGAATTTGACGGACAGTGGCGTAGCTGCCTATACGCCAAATACGCACGTGCGTACAATTCATTTTGGGAGGTGAAAATGCATGGATTCAATGCGAAAAATGGCTTAAAAACTAGTGCTATCCGGCCTGCGGTCAACTTAAGCAATGTATGAAAAAGACAATATTTATTGTACAAGTATTTGATTATAACAGGGCCTTTCAAATAGAAAGACCCTGATTATAATGTATTAGACTCTATTTATACATATAAAATTATTCATTTGGTTTTTATGTAGATAAAGGTACCTACGTTTCGTTTTTTAAAGGGATCAACTTTTGTATTGAACTTGCCTCACATGTAGCTTGAATACGAGCTCTTTCCGTAAAATGTTACGAAATTTTAAAAAGTTTCGATTCTTTTTTATTTAATGAATGAAAGAAAATAATGCAGACATTTTGATAATATCGACATGTCAAAGATATCACAAATAAAAACACAACAAAAACCATGTAAGTCAATATGTCTAAACGAAATTTCTTAAATTTGTGGTATTATAAATGTGATATCTAGACTTAAGTTTTATTTTTCAAGAGCGGAATAAGGCACGTTCTTAATATTAAAACAAATTGATTTGACTGAATTTAAATGTGATTAATATAACAAAATATGTGTGCAAGTTCCGACAGTTATGGATAAGAGACATACAAGTTCGATGTGTCGCATCAAGTGAGCGTCTGAAAATCATTCCGTTGCAAATTGTTTCAACAATGCATTTTGGAAGGATTATATTTTCCTTGCAATGATCATTGAAGAGAAATTTTAACAATTTGAAAAATAAAACACACCGAAAATAGTAAAATTGCGTTGCTAGAACGTTTACCAAATATTAACTTGTGTGATTTCCTTCCGTAAATATCTGCCAATTTTATCGTAGATGGAACATGATCCTAACCTCCCCTTTGGCTAAATACAAAACGTATTTCACAGAGCTTGATTAAATAAATAAAGTATTAACATTTATTAAAATGCGAGTGATTTACACGGTGCTGGTGTCATAGGCAATGCGAATGAGCCCTCGCAAATGTGATGGCGCCAACACAAGCATTCAAGAAGTGTCGTAATTGTGGAATTATGCCGATTTATATTAATGGATATACTAAAACAGAATCTCCAAATTCATTGAGATAGGTTGGTTCTTCAGGATCCAAATAGAAGTGTACTACGTCGCTATATATCTATAAAATGTGCTATTTTCAAAAACTTCTTCACCACTTAATTATTAGTTGACTTTCAAGAGCAAATATCAATGTTATTTTAAATTGTTTCCTAGATGTAGAAAGTTTTTCAAAAAGAGTGTCTTAAATTTAATCTAGATTGTTTGATTTGCTTTTTTGGTCATTGGGTACGTATTCTTCCTATTCTTTCGTTTTGATTTGAACATCGAACTGTTTAATCGCGAAGCATTGCTTGGGCGAAATTTATAGTGGAAGAAAAATCGAAAATAATGAGAAAGTTGTTCTACTTCTTCGAATTTTGAAAAACAAGCTTTTAAATCGGATAGTTTTAAAAACTTTTATTACCCTTTCCAGCTTTGTTTAATTCGAGAGCTCTACAACGGATCGAAGTATCGAGGACTATCATTTAAATAAGACAGAGCCAGCGTTTGATATCTCCCTGGGTGTAATAAGTATTTAATAAAATTGCTTTTTTAGGATTTAAACCATATTTATGTGATATTAAATGCACGTGAAATTGTATAGTCGAATCATCCTTAAATGACTAAATCCGTGGAGCTTTCGGGGGATTCGCCCCCTGAACCCGCACCAGGGCTCTGCCCTGGACCTGCAAGGGGGCCTACGCGGCCCCTTGCACTCTTGCGTGTACTTTTGTGCGCATATTTAAAATTGCCCTATAGTTACGCCCCTGACTGTGAGTTAAACACTGAGCTGTGATTAATATAACTGTCACGGTCCCATATCGGGCGCCAAATGTCACAGGATGAGAAAGATGTGCAGCCAGACTGGAACTCAAACCCGGAACCCTCGGAATACCGTTCCGCTACCGAATGAGCTATCCGGCCGCTTACACATTATCTACCCTAAATAGTGAACAGTTTTGGACCGTGACAAGTGGTATGCGAATCAGAATTTTGTAATATAAAAATAACGTGAAGGAATCTAAATTTACGAGTATCTTTTTATTCAATATTTAACATGTTATATATTATACAGACATTTTTACATTCGAGATATAATGATTTCTCGACTCACACTTACGTTTAAAAAAAATATTACTACATGTACCTATAACAGAAGAAAACAGATACCAAAATTTTAAATGTTCAGGTACAGAAATACGCCTTAAAGCTGCCTCCAGATGAACCAAGAAAATAAAACTGAAGAAAAATAACGGCCTACTTAGATTTTAAGAAAATAAAAAAAGATGATTCAAGATTATATTAATACATTTACATGTTATGCGCGATTTATGACTGATCTTGTAGTATTTATCACCATATTTCTTCCACGTCACTATCGATTATGCCTTAAGGGCAAATTTTGCGTAAATTGAGACATCTTTTTAAAGGTTATTTACGTGGATTGTAAGAGTAAATTACTTCTTTTGTTCACTTCACATAATTCACTTTGAAATATGTTTTCAAAACCTTTTTGACAATAAGCATGGTTCTGGGGGCATGCTGCTTTCAAACCATTTAACTTCAATCTTGAGTTATATATTTGTTACAATATTCTGTACATATATCTAAAGAGTGTCTTAGTTAAAAGTATAAGCTGCAGGGAAGGAAAACTATTTTGTGACTACATGGAATTTATTCAAATAATCAAACGGCAATAAAACATATTTTTATTAAGCAACAAACAACACAATTTCATTTTCATATCATTATTTACATGTCAATATGACTTTAAGTATCTATTCAATATTGTTTTTATGCCGGCCTGGCTTTCTTTTTCATTTCATAGCCGACTTCAGCAAAATGTTTGACAAAACGTTCAGCTATTTTTTTCCATTGTCAATTTTCTTCAGATGGTGATTCTGATGATGAGTATTGTTCGGTCCAGATATTTTCACGTCTAGAAAATAAATAAAACAGATTATGAAAACCATACTCTTGTAATATTCGTTTATAATGTTAACTGAAATTACTATACAACATGTGTAGTGCAATACTGTTTGCTATTAAAATACCGAGAGCCGTTATTCTATACATAGACTATAAAAAGGCAAGAAACGTCTTACTTTTGAAAGCGTAAAAACTGATATTGTGCAGAAGGTTTACTTCTTTTCTGAAGGCGCCACTTTGCAGCGATTGAAGTGAATATTGATTTTGATAACATCCATTAATTTTCTGTTATATATGGCGACATTGTTCTTTGCATATACTTAATGTTTTCAATAAATACTTGTTAGACATAAGAATTGTTTCATTATAATTTTAATTTACCTCGTATACAGCACTGTTGGACTTCAATTGTATTGGTCGCTCCTTTAAAAATGTTCTCACTGGAACTTAAATAAAGAAAACAGTCATAAATATCACATAGTCGAAAATAAGATCTATAAGCTTATAAAAGAAATAAGTTTATCATTTTTATTTTGCATAATGACTTATTTTAATAGCACACCGAATGTATCAATTGAAAATGCAAGGGGAAATATTCTAATGTATTTATGAAGAAGACACAAATTGTTATAAAATATGATGATTTTTTAATAATGATTGCTTTTACTTAAAATCACACAATGTTAATAAATTCTAAAATCATACAATACTAATACATATGTTCTGTAATAAATAAATTACCTGATACTTCCGTGTGAAAAGTTGTATCCAAAACCAGGGCATGGCCGTGTAAGTGCAGCAGAGAATTTGCAAGTGTTTGGCGCCTCCTCATTCTACCCGTCGGTTTGCATATTTTAATTCCAAGGTAACATTTATCGAAATTTTCAGTCTTGGTATGAAGATGAGCGTCCCCTTTAAAGGAGATAGTATTTGATTCAATAGTTGTTTTCTTTAAAACACCACTCTCCAACATCTTCATCTTACTACTAAACAAAGAGACTTGTACAAATATTTCAGATAAATCCATCTGGAGACCACAGATTGAAATCATGCCGATTCTCAATTGCCGGACGCTTGGAAAATATTGTACATTCATTTCCATCTTGCCGACATCTACAATTTCTTTTGTGAAAGTGTCTATAGTATACACGGCTTTGTTTTCAACTTTGCTCGACATCCTTGCTCTGTAGGAATCAACACTGTTTGTAATACCATGAGCGCCCTTCTTTTATATACTGGTGGCCAATGGAGGATTGGATTTCAGTTAGCACCTTAATTAAATGTTGTTTCGTATATTGTCACGTACGCAGGGAAATATCGGACAAATAACTTTCCTTTAGTCTATGGCCAACAGGATATTATCATTTTGAAATACTTTTATATACATTGTAACATTGTAATTTAGAAATTTTATCTTGATTTATCTATCTGTTGAAAATATTTATGCAATGAACATTTAGCTATTTTTATGGAAAAAACCGCTGTAAATTAAGTAGCTCAATGAAAACGAACTTCCAGCGATTTTTCATCGGAAACAATTTCATAAAATTGCACAAAGGAAACATATACTTAGCATGGCTGTGTGCAGTTGATTAAAGAAAACGAATATTGTGCAATTGTTCAAAAGGAAAATAACTTCTTCGTTCAGTTGTCAAAGGTACGAAACTTGCAGCATCATAACCTGTGATCAGCTTTCAAAATTCCATTTTGTTTTCTCGTTTAAGGCACACGCTTTCTTGACATTGGGACCATTTGCCTATTTTCATGGAACGACACGAAGATGTCACATTGAAGGTTGTACGATAACCGCCGTATGAACACATAATTTATCATGCACATGTTTCTACATTAAAAATCTCTCTTTCTAAATTTCGTGTTTAAATGTTAAATTCTGCTTCAGATGGTGTAAAACATCATTTCTGGAGGGTATCTAGTTAAGGGCATACAAAACAGTAAATAAATGGTAAACACTGACCGTAACGGGAGTACCCCTATTTATTACATCAGTAATAAGTTCAACAAAAGGCTTTCGTCGCTAGTTTACAGTTTCGAAACATACGTCATATTGAAAAAGCGCCTTAAACGATTCGACGTCACTCTCGAAATTTTCATTTTTTTTCATCCTAACACGCTTCACATTGTTCCCTAATCAAACAGATAGGGCGTAAGATATTTGAAACATAAAGAAAATGTCTGCCCATTTATTCGTGCATGGAACATTGTCCGAACCTCCCCTTTGGCATCAATAAAAGAGCGTGGTTAAAAATAAAAAGGGCTCTTTCTCATTGCCAATGGCACCAGCATCTTGACAATGTCTCGATCACATTTGTATAAATGTTAGTATTTAAGTTTTAACCAAGCTCTTCGATTCCAAAGGGGAGGTTCGGCTAACATTCCGTGCACGAATATAAATAAATTAATTCTCGGGGAAGAAAAAAATGTTCCCGATTGGTCGAACATTTCTAATATTATGTTATTCTTTACAGATAAACATGCTTATATTAAGCTCCATGATTATTTACATCAGTGTTAAACAACAGGTTTACCGTGAAATTTATAAGGGTTATAAACCCTAATTTAGAATAATGTGGTTTTCTTCAGGCTATTATTTCAAACTTCGCCGTGGTCGAGGGGTAACACACTCGGTTAGTAAGCGAGAGGTCTGGAGTTCGAATCCCAATTATTTAAATTGTTTAAGCCAAATAAACATTGAATTGAATATCAGTGTGCAATTAGCCTTCTATAGCCAATTTACTACATTTATAACACTGGAAACAGCATTGGTGGCACTATACAAAAGCAAATTGGTTTATAATCTCACAACCTTCATCTTTCTGACATTTTGAGATCCAAACAAATTCAGCACCTTCTGTGCTTTGATTTAACATGTTATAACTCAGATTTTCATCGTGTGTTGTATTTAGTATCCCAAAGCCTGTAACTTTTGGCCGTGTAATATCTTTAAAAAATTTCATTTAGTAAAATTTTCATGCACCGTTTTATTGTTTCCCTTCGAAACTGAAAGTAGGAAATTTCCGAAAATGAGTAAAACTTTTACTTCTAGACCAGGATTGACAAATTCTCGGGGCAGAGGAAGGGGTGGTCAGACCAGACAAGTAGAAGCAGTGAACGCGAACAGACTAGACCGTCCGATTAATGGTATGGAGCCGAGAACTGGGGCAAGGGTTGGGCAACCTCGCCTTCAAGCTCAGCCGCCACTTGCTGGTAGAGCGGCAGGCAGAATGGCGGATGAAAGACAGACAGAATTACAGCCAAATGATGAAAATGGAGGACCTGATATAGAACGTAGAATGACATAGTATGAGCATCATAATTGATTAAAATTAAAGCAGCATGCCTCCAGATTCATGCTAATTTTGATTTCGAGACGTTTCGGCCCCAAGACATATCGGCCCCAAATTGCCCAAGACATTTCGGCCCCAGACGTTTCGGCCCTTTACCAAATCGGCCCCAGAATAAGTACTGTGATTTAAACCGGTATATTTATAGCATTTCGATAAATAAATGAATCAATTGATATTTATATATATATTTTTAATCATTTTGTATAAGAATTAGGTTATAATAGTAGGGAAGGAATAGAAGGGGGAAAGTAATCAATTCAATGCCACCTGTGACACATCTTGAATGTCACTGCATGCTGTCTCCCATGCACAACGTTATTGCACTCAATGTACAGATCGGACTTTTCTGTCTGTTTATGAGTCACAATTTTTAACACTTAGAAATCCGATTGTAAGTATTAAATCACAGTTAATATCCAGTAAATAATTTATCTAATTTAATTCTATAAATAATGAAATTATTCCAACAATTATACGCACAAACACTTTATTTTCAAATCTTATATAACTTTTCTATAGATAGCAGGTACATAGCATTTATAATTTGGTTTCAGTGTTTTAATCACTTTTTATAACATCTACATGTAGCATCTATCATTATCTAATAACAATAATAATTAAAAATATTATCAGGAGATTATAGTAAACCGTTTTTTAAATCTTTCTCTGATATTACTTACCGCCAATTAGTATAAAGCTATAACCAGTTAATTAGTTACACTGGTTACACCTTTAAAAACATTAATGTATATCTAAATGGTTCAAGAGATCAAAAGATAATAACTAATTATTTAAATAATTAAAGTGTCATAATTGCTTAATTGTAATTAAATTAATTGGTGTTTATCAATCAAGCAATGTACTATAGTAGGGCCGAAACGTCTCGCGGAAAAGGACCAAAACGTCCAGGGGCCGATTTTTCCACTGGGGCCGATTTAGTTTGGGGCCGAAACGTCCTGTTTGCCTAATTTTCATGAAAATTTTGAAAATGTATTTCAAACTTTCAAAGTGAACAAATAAAGTAATTTACACATTGCAAACGACACTTACAGTCCACGTAAATAGCCCCAAAAGAGGCCAAAATATACAAAAATACCTCTAACTGCGTTAGTCACGCAGAAAAATTATTAGTTAAAGAGACTTCAGCGAACAGGTTTTATAGTACTGCTAGACCTGTTCCTTTACTGTCGCACAACGTCAAAATAAAAGCGACAATTAAAGTTATGGCAGCCAGAACTATAAAATTATAGTGATTGATACTGGAATATCCGTAAATGACATGTAAATAATTATTTAGGGATATTGAATCTTTTTACTTTTCATATTAATACATTGGTCTAATGATTGAATTTCTTGAAATATTTTGGCTCATCTGGAGGCGTGCAGCTTTAAAGTTAAAATTTTAATATATTTCATAATTAATTTCTGGACAGTTACATGTTCTATGTTTAGGCAGTAGCGGATTTTATGGTATAGCGGATAACATGGTAGTAACAATGCTCCTGTCCATCAAATATGCCATTTTCAAAAAAATACAATTATACCATCAAAAAGAGTGATTTCCCACCCTTCGTTAAATTTTTTTTATTTATTTCAAATTGAGGAATAGTCGTTTCTGCGCTACTTCTCTGCAACTACTGATTTGAATTCAATGAAACTTTATGGGAATCATCAATATCAAGAGATGTGCATATCGTCGGCTTGTTCAGGTCAGACACTTTAACTCAGAGTTATGGCCCTTGATTAGTTATGCAGTATGCATATACTGCACTAATTGTTTACGCTCTACTTCTCTGCAACTATACTGGCAGGAATTCAATTAAACTTTATGGGAACCATTAATACCAAAAGGAGATGTGCATAATTTGTTGCCTTGTTAAGACCAGACCCTTCATTACAGAGTTATGGCCCTTGATTAGTTATGTGGAATGCATATATAGCAATATTGCTATTTCTTTGCAACTGCTGTATTGTATTTTAACAAAACTTTATGGGAACCATCAATACAAAAAGGCAATTTACATGTCATTGGCATGTCCATGCAGACATTACTATTAAACACAGAGTTATGGCTCTGTTATTGCCCTGAATGTTTATCATGTACAAAGAATATTACTGTTCATGCCATGATAAATATAAAATTATATAAATAAAGCCTTATGTCTTCATAATATTCAATGAATTTGCTTGTTTAACATTCAAATACCCCGCAGTCTATCCTTATGGGAATAAGGAAAAATGTTTCTAGTAACAGTGCAATCATGTCTTATATGCACAACATTATCTGCCTTTGCTTTTCTGGAACATGTATATTTCTTATAATCTATTATTTTATTTTAGTCAAGGTGGATACAGTGTGATTGCTCCTAACCAGAGACGAAGAGAACAAATAAATCAAGGTAGGAACATCTTAATCTATTTGATAATTTTAAGTCTCTGGGTGCAATAATGATAGGAACTCCAGTATGACAAGTATATTTTAAGTTACTTGTTACATTCCAGTACCTCAAGTACTTTGATTTTAAAGCAGCAAGTACTTTAAATCATATCCGGGACAGTCCCCTGACTTTCGGGACAGTCTTTGACATCTGGGACATTATGCATGTTCGTCTTCGGTCTTCCTCCGCCATTAATTTAGCTGGAAAGTCCCCATATGTTTACATTATCAAAAAAAAGTACGGTTTTGTATACTTAATCAGGTGCTTTAATTGGCTTAAAAAAATGTAACAAAAGGGCAATCCTAATCGTTTTCTGTACAGAAAATGCTTAGAAAAAATTTTCGCTTTGTCTATACAGTATTGGTGCCATCAAAACAATGAAGTCTGTATACTTAAGCATTATCTGAAGAAAGTAGTGCTAAAATTGAAATAATTGGCCATAAAAGTAGCTAAATGTTAACAACATACTAAATCACTATCACTGTACTGTAAAATGGAAAAGGCAAATTAAGAAGAAAAAAAAATGGTTCAGCTTTGTGGTCAATGAGTAGCTTTTTTGAAACTATAACAGAATACTAAAAATGTAAAATTAAAAATATTATAATTTTTGAGGTTTAATGGACATTTAAAATCTTTCATGTTGAAACATTATTTGATTGCCAAATATATTTGAGCCGTGTCACAACAAAACCAACGTAATAGGTTTGCAACCAGCATGGATCCAGACCAGACTGGGCATCCGCGCAGTCTCATCAGGATCCATGCTGTTTGCTATCAGTTTCTCTACTTGTTATAGGGTTTGTAAGCGAACTGCATGGATTCTGATCAGACTGTGCGGATGCGCAGGCTTGTCTGGATCCATGCTAGTCGCAAAACCATTATGTTGGTTATATCGTGACGCGGCTCATTTCTTAATTTATCTTAGTTGCTCAAAGGGAGACACAAGCATACCAGCAACATCTGCAGCAAAATACCCCCAGCACTTTCAACTACGTAGGGACAGCAGGTAATCTATGGCTAAGGGAGATATTGATCTTGATCTCTTATCATTTTTTTTTCTATTCTGTTTTTAACAAGTATATCAAGAGTAGGAGAGAACACACGTCAAACAATTCAGGATGGTTTGTAACTGGTTAATTCAAGCATATACTGGTTTTGATCTTTCAAGACCTTCATTATTTTGTTTTTGGTAAAAGTTTCATGTAATAAAAATTATAAGGAAGTGACAGGAAATCTGTGTTGGAGAAAATATCGATTTCAATTAATAATGTGGTACTACAAGGAATTTAAGTCATATATTTTGAAGAGGAAAAAACAATTAAAAAATGACCTAAGGAATGGCAGGTAATTGAATTGAGGAATGGTAACTAAGTCATGGGAATGGTGGTATTAGTAAACAAGTGTAGGAAGGTCTGAGGTAATTAATTGATCAGGAATGACTGATAAAATATTGAACTGTGATACTATGGAACCACGTGTCTAGGAAAATTGGAAGTGACCTTGCATGAAAGACTTTATAGTATAAATGTCGAATTAATAAACAATGTGTATCATGACATTAAGGTAGTCACAACTTTACCAAAGAACATTAATTTTCATTAGAGTAAAAATATGATTATTGTCGGATATCTATTTTAAGTAGTGGTCAGTTGACACAGTTGTTATATTATATTATACTACCCAACAGGAATGCACCCAGTTGCCACTTTAATGTCAGCCATTTTTGTAACCACGTTTTTCATGTATTATATCTTTACCCAATGTAGTAAATTACAGAAGTTGGTTGTGTAAAAAGCTAATTAGAGCTTATGTTGTTTTAAGCTTAGCTTTTTTTCAAAGAAAAAAGATTGAGGTATAATGTTACAGTCATGTCGGCATTCCCATTCAGTTCTCCTCAAAACTTTAACATTGTTCATAACATAAGTTTTGGTGTATTGTCTTCATACTTGGCCACAACAACCCTTGAGACAAAATACTTCTATTAGTAGACTAGACTAAACTTGATCCTCATTCATAAATGACCTTGAAGGTCAAATGTTGGTGGCTCTAGTTGTTATATGTATCAGACTTTATAAATAAATTAGACTTCACTTGACTTCTCACTGCCCACAAATGGATTCTTAGGTGGCTTATATTGATAACAGTAAATATACTTAGGTGCAATTCATTCAGTTAAGTAAAATGGCTACTACAATATTTTAATATGTCCAGAATTAGAGAGTTGCCTTTGAGTATACATTTGTAGGGTCGTCAATTCAACCCAAAATGTTTTGGTCTTGACTATTTCTCAGTTACCAAATATTAATAAAATCTTTAATTGCCAAGAGGGGCCATTGTTTGATGATTTGTTTGAAGTTAAACAGTAAGATTGTGCTGAAAAATTATACTCAAAATTTCACCATGTTTATATAACTATTTCAATTATTATTTTCCAACTTAACAAAATTTGTATTTTAAATAAATTTTAATACTGCATTAATGTTTTAATAAAACAATACATTTTTAAATTGAAACTGGAGTTTATTTCTATACTGGTCGGAGAGATAACTCCGACGCATAGATAACCCCGACACTTGATAAATATAATTTTTATAACTTTGTTTTTCAACAAAAAAGCATATGGTCACCTAGTAGTATAGGAGCAGGACAAAATGTGATGAGTTTTTAGCTCACCTGTCACAAAGTGACAGGGTGAGCTTTTGTGATCGCTTTTCGTCCGGCGTCCGTCCGTCCGTCCGTCGTCCGTCCGTAAACTTTTGCTTTAAATGACATCTCCTCATAAACCACTGAGCCAATTTCATCCAAACTTCACAGGAATGTTCCTTTGGTGGTCACCTTTAAAAATTGTTCAAAGAATTTAATTCCATGCAGAACTCTGGTTGCCATGGCAACCGAAAGAAAAATCTTTAAATATCTTCTTTTAAAGAACCCTAAGAGCTAGAGCTTAGATATTTGGCATGAAACATCTTCTAGTGAGTGTCTACCAAGTTTGTTCAAATAAAAGCCCTGGGGTCAAAATTGGCCCCGCCCCAGGGGGTCATTGATTTTCCCTATATGCATATAGTAAAAACTTAAAAAATCTTCTTTTAAAGAACCCAAAGAGCTAGAGCTAAGATTTTTGGCATGAAACATCTTCTAGTGAGTGTCTACCAAGTTTGTTCAAATAAAAGCCCTGGGGTCAAAATTGGCCCCGCCCCGGGGGGTCATTGATTTTCCCTATATGCATATAGTAAAAACTTAAAAATCTTCTTTTAAAGAACCGTAAGAGCTAGAGCTTAGATGTTTGGCATGAAACATCTTCTAGTGAATGTCTACCAAGTTTGTTCAAATAAAAGCCCTGGGGTCAAAATTGGCCCCGCCCCAGGGGGTCATTGATTTTCCCTATATGCATATAGTAAAAACTTAAAAAATCTTCTTTTAAAGAACCCAAAGAGCTAGAGCTAAAATAATAAGCATGAAACATCTTCTAGTGAGTGTCTACCAAGTTTGTTCAAATAAAAGCCCTGGGGTCAAAATTGGCCCCGCCCCGGGGGGTCATTGATTTTCCCTATATGCATATAGTAAAAACTTAAAAATTCTTCTTTTAAAGAACCATAAGAGCTAGAGCTTAGATATTTGGCATGAAACATCTTCTAGTGAATGTCTACCAAGTTTGTTCAAATAAAAGCCCTTGGGTCAAAATTGACCCCGCCCCAGGGGGTCATAGATTTTCCCTATATGCATATAGTAAAAACTTTAAAAAATCTTCTTTTAAAGAACCCAAAGAGGTAGAGCTAAGATATTTAGCATGAAACATCTTCTAATGAATGTCTACCAAGTTTGTTCAGATAAAAGCCCTGGGGTCAAAATTGGCCCTGCCCCAGGGGGTCATTGATTTTCCCTATATGCATGTAGTAAAAACTTAAACAATCTTCTTTTAAAGAACTCAAAGAGCTAGAGCTAAGATATTTAGCATGAAACATGTTCTAATGGTTGTCTACCAAGTATGTTCAAATAAAAGCCCTTGGGTAAAAATTGGGCCGGGGGTGGGCGGCTGCCTATATACAGGTGAGCGACCTCAGGGCCATCATGGCCCTCTTGTTGTAAGTTGGTAAACTTTTTAATATTTTTCAATTAACCGAAACTTTTTGTTGGTAAAAATTGCTTCAAAACGTTCTTTTTGCTAAATTACAATGAGGTAGTTAGAACTGTATTGACCACAGGCCACTGACTTGGGAAATATTTTTGAGAACTTGTTTTTACATCAACAAAAAATAGATAAAACATTTAAGATGTAAAAATAAATTAATGATGCTGATTTCCTGTCATTTTTTACTTAAAAATTTAAGTGTCGACTTTATCTACTGTTGAGGGGTAAAAAGACCATGTTTTGTATACCTCCTTCAGGACCTTAAAGAAGTACCAATTCTCATTTTCATACATAATTTTTGTAGTGTAATGTAAAGTCTTTGAACTGAACTTTATTTAGGTGGTTCAATATTTAAAATATACAGGAAGATAATTAAGATATTACAAAAAGTATGTGATTTAGTGTCGGAGTTATCTCTCCAACCAGTATTCAAACTTACATTGCACATTATTCAAATACATATTACATATTACATTATTACATATTACAGCGTATATTTCCTGCCAATTAATCCTTAGTTATAATTTTATGTACATTTGGTATGGATTAATAATGGTCTGTAAACTTTGACCCTGAGCCTCCCTCCTGTTTAGGTCAATAGAGAGATTATCTGATTAGTAATCCAGACACAGCTCAAGTTCAAATTACTCCGGGGCTCAGTGCGACATCGAGTCTAATGGCAATTTGTCTACCACTGCTAATTGGAAAATCATGAGGGATTAGAAGTTGGTCATTTGGTAACAATTTGTTTATAAAAATAATTGGTTCCTTATCCATTACAATGGATTAGGTGGATTGACTGCTAAGATAAATCATGACTAAAAACTTGTTTTGAATTTTATTGATGTAAAGAAAGTCATTCAATTTACACAGTGCTCCTTCCCTCCACACCTACCTTCTAAACACTTACTCTTTATTCACACTCGTAGGTGCTAATTTTGGGAACATCAGTTGAAAATGTTGAAAACAAAAAACAGATGAAATCTGAAAATTATGAAGATTTCTCTTTTAAGCCAGCTCAAGTTTTAGGTACATGTACATTTTTATACAAAAAAGTATAAATTAATTAAATTTGTACAAACATGTTCATGCATGTATAATCATTTAAAAATGTTAAGGTTTTGATACATGTATGTGTTTTTTTCTTTACTTTTCCAAATTGTGTTATGTACACTTCCCTGGAAAGGAAAGATTTGTTGCAAAAAAACAACAACAACCATATGAATGACTGCAGTTACGAGTGTTTCATTGATAATTGGTTGTATTATTATATTATAATAGGTGGTGGTCAGGTGACCGAGGGTGCTGCAAGAAGAAGACTGATCCAGGAGAGTCCTTCTAAAACACAGAAACTGGTAATATTTTAACACTTGACCGTGAAAATTCCTTAGAATGGATTTGTCCAATTCCCAAATAAACTCGTTATTACCAAATATGACAATGGTACAGTCCATTGTCATATTTGGTAATAACGAGTTGATTATTTAAGTTAGTCAGGCAGCAATGTCCTGTCGGACTTAATGCACGTGTAGGAAAACACTTTATTCTTGCATATTAAACTGGTTTTCAATTAGTTTTACACATGCTGGCATAGGGGTTGCAAGTTAAGTCACACATACATTGAAATGTGTGTTTTTTTCTTTCTTCTATTTTAAAAGGACCAGTTTGACGTCAGACGTAAATCAGGACAGTTTTGTTTTATGTTTTGTGAATGATTCTAAAGAAAAATTGAGCCGCACCATGACAAAACCAGCATAGTGCGTTTGCGACCAGCATGGATCCAGACCAGCCTGCGCATCCGTGCAGTCTGATCAGGATCCATGCTGTTCGCTTACAAACCCTATTACAAGTAGAGAAACTGATAGCGAACAGCATGAATCCTGACCAGACTGCTTGGATGCGCAGGCTGGTCAGGATCCATGCTGGTGGCAAACCCACTATGTTGGTTTTGTCATGACAGGGCTCAATTGAATCAATATTTGTTTCTATTGAAGCTGCAGAAGGAAGAGAAAAAATCATATTTCAAACAGAAAGAAGAAGAAGAGTTACAGAAAAAAAAAGATGAGCAGAGAAAAAAGGTATTATGTCATGTCCAGTTGAAAATTTTGTAAAAAATATGCCCTGCTTTGTAACTGGAACAATTCATTATGTTGTTTAAAGGCACTCAGCTAATATTTGACATAATGAGATTAGAATTTTTTCTTTCCCCGAGATAAATGTTCCATTTAATGTAGGTCCAGCTAAAAACTTGTGTGCAAAATTTTACATCATTTTTTCACTCTGTTTTTTAAAGAATACCGTAAATTCCTAATAAACGCCCCTCCCCTAATAAAGACCCCCAGGCCTTTTGATAATAAAAACAATATACTCATAAGTGCTGAACTCCATAATTTCATTCAAATCATTCAGAATCCATTTTATTTTATAGTATGAACTTTAAAATCTTAACACTTTTTAATGTTTTGACCAACACTTGCTAACACTAAATGTATTTACAATGATTTTTGGATTTTAAGGAAAAACTGTGTTCTAATAATAGCCCCCCTTTTGGAAAATGTTTAGCCCCTGGGGGCGTTTAATAGGAATTTTACAATAATTATTCTTATTGTGAAAAATGACCAGAAATTGTAAAGCGTTGCAATGCTTTTTGCTCTAATCAGGCTGATAGCACAAATATATATGATTTTTAATTTATTTCAGTGTATAATTCTTAATTATATTTTGCATATCTTTCTATTTCCCTAGCTGATCTTTGTAAGAAATTCAAAGCTTATGTTTTTAGTAGAGTTCCTTTAAGGGAAAAAGAAATAGCTCAGTCAACCTTGATTTTGCAATTATAATAATCAAGTAATTTTTGTAGTTTCCAAGGGATCCCTTCTTTTCCAGATCTTTCTACCAGCCAAATAGAGCCTGGTCAACTTTGTTTCGATACTAAGGGCAATTTAGGCTGGTTACTTTTGGTTCAGTTCACAAATCTATAATGCTATGAAATGTATAAAATGAGCCGGGTCACGACAAAACCAACATAATGGGCTTGCGACCAGCATGGATCCAGACCAGCCTGCGCATCCGCGCTGTCTGATCAGGATCCATGCTGTTCGCTATCAGTTTCTCTACTTGTTATAGGGTTTGTAAGCGAAAAGCATGGATCCTGATGAGACTGCGCGGAGGCGCAGGCTGGTCTGGATCCATGCTGGTTGCAAACCCATTATGTTGGTTTTGTCATGACACGGCTCAAATGATATTTCATGGGCATCATGTACTACACAACTATAGCAAAAATTCACTGTCAATGTTATTGCTAAACTTTAAATGGCTCATGGACTTGCCAAAGTCTAGTATTATAAAATTTTGTTCTTTTTTTAAGCCCCGCCATGTAATGGCTGGGGCATATAGTTTTACCCTGTTTGGTCCTTCCATCAGTCTGTCATTCCGTCATCATCAATTTCTGTTCATTATCTTAGTAACAGTTGCACACATTCAACTCATATGGATATGTCATGAGAAATTATACAGGTCAAGTTCGAATTTGGTAATGGTTCGATGATTTTTGGCAAAGTTATGCCCCTTTTACTTTGAAAATAATATGAAATTTTCAGTTTCCGTTCATCATCTCCCAAACGGTACAACTGGGGGCGTTAATTAGAAGCACATTTGCATAAAATGAAAATTAATTTATGTTTAAAAATTATCTAAAAGTTTTCGACTATTTTCGTCCTATAAACCCCTTGTTCACGTACGATAAATAAGCAGCACAAAATTATTGTAGACATTAAGGTAGTCTGCTGACCGAGATAAACTTGTCAAGTAAATAGTTACCGGATATTGATTTTTCTTTTAGTTTAATGGTAATTGACATTTTTTGTGTTTTTTTTTCACAGTTTGTTTAACTAGTTACATGTACGTGACTTTTATATTCATACGTCTTTCATGACATTAATAATCAATGACATTCACGTATTTACTTGTGCTACAAAACGTGATATATTTCCATGCATTTGAACTCCAAGCAGCAATAAAATCACAGTTAGGTTAAAAAAAAAAATCCTGATAAAAAATCATTATCATTTTATCATAAGCAATAGATGAAATACGTAGTTTAATGGTAATTGACATTTTCTATGGGTTTTTTTTCCACAGTTTGATTCACTAGTTACGTGACTTATATATTCGTACGTCATTAATGACATTTAATAATCAATGACATTCAGCTTTTCATAAGAAAAAATAAAGACTTTGGTTTTGTTTAGATTTTCTTTACACATTTTATAAAAGGTATACATGTTTAATGGATGGAAAATACATAGAAGATATTGAATGAGTGTAGATTCAATACTGAATTTATTGAACAAGTCCTGCATGAGGCAGCATATTTCAATGGCTGCTTTTTTTGCACTTTCATCATGAAATACTCTTTGCTTATGAGACGGTTGTTGTTCTATAGATAGTTAGAGTTTAAGAGGAGCAGTGGCCCAGGGATCCTGGGTTTGAGCCCCTCTGGGATTACAGCATGTTTCCTCATATGACACCTGTATTAGTCGCCAAAAATCAAAATTGGAGATCAGAGAATGCAGTTGAATCAGTCTGTCCATACTAATAGATTTCATCTGTTTCCACATGATAGAAAATGTTCTTTTGCCCTTAAAATATTCTTTTGCCCCTTTATGTGTCAGCCTAGTGACAGGGTGGGCTTTTGTGATTGCTTTTCGTCTGGCGTCGGCCGTCCGTAAACTTTTACTTTAAATAACATCTCCTCATAAACCGCTGAGCCAATTTCATCCAAACTCCGCAGGAATGTTCCTTTGGTGGTAACCTTTAAAAATTGTTCAAAGAATTTAATTCCATGCAGAACTCTGGTTGCCATGGCAACTGATAGAAAAAACTTAAAATATCTTCTTTTAAAAAACCCAAAGAGGTAGAGCTTAGATATTTGGCATAAAACATCTTCTTGTGAGTGTCTATCAAGTTTGTTCAAATAAAAGCCCTGGAGTCAAAATTGGCCCCGCTCCGGGGGGTCATTGATTTTTCCCTATATGCATATATTAAAAACTTATAAAATCTTCTTTTAAAGAACCCAAAGAGCTAGAGCTAAGATATTTAGCATGAAACATCTTCTAATACCGGTAGGTGTCTATCAAGTTTGTTCAAATAAAAGCCCTAAAGGGTCAAAATTGGCCCCACCCCAGGGGTCATTGCTTTTCCCTACATGCATATAGTAAAAACTTAAAAAATCTTCTTTTAAAGAACCCAAAGAGCTAGAGCTAAGATATTTAGCATGAACCATGTTCTAATGGGTGTCTACAAAATTTGTTTAAATAAGAGCCCTGGGGTCAAAATTTGCCCCGCCCCGGGGGTCATTATTTTCCCTATATGCATATAGTAAAAACTTATAAAATCTTCTTTTAAAGAACCCAAAGAGCTAGAGCTAAAATATTTAGCATGAAACATCTTCTAATAGGTGTCTATCAAGTTTGTTCAAATAAAAGCCCTGGGGTCAAAATTGGCCCGGCCCCAGGGGGTCATTGATTTTCCCTATATGCATATAGTAAAAACTTTTAAAATCTTCTTTTCAAGAACCCAAAGAGCTAAAGCTAAGATATTTAGCATGAAACTTGTTCTAATGAGTGTTTACCAAGTTTGTTTAAATAAAAGCCCTAGGGTCAAAATTGGCCCCGCCCCGGGGGTCATTGATTTTCCCTATATGCATATTGTAAAAACTTATAAAATCTTCTTTTAAAGAACCCAAAGAGCTATAACTAAGATATTTAGCATGAAACATCTTCTAATAGGGGTCTATCAAGTTTGTTCAAATAAAAGCCCTTGGGTCAAAATTGGCCCTGCCCAAGGGGGTCATTGATTTTCCCTATATGTATATAGTAAAAACTTATAAAATCTTCTTTTAAAGAACCCAAAGAGCTAGAGCTAAGATCTTTAGCATGAACCATGTTCTAATGGGTGTCTACCAAATTTGTTCAAATTAGAGCCCTGGGTCAAAATTTGCCCTGCTCCAGAGGTCATTGATTTTCCATATATGTGTAAAGCAAAAACTTTAAATTAAAAATTCTTCGAAAAAAAAACAAATAGCTAGAGTTTAGATACTAAGCATGAAACATCTTCTAGTGAGTGTCTACAAAGTTTTTTTCAAATAAAAGCCCTTGGTCAAAATTGGCCCTGCCCCGGGGGGTCATTGATTTTATTTATGTGTAAAGCAAAAATTTATAAAATCTTCTTTGAAAAAACCAAAATAGCTAGAGTTAAGATATTTAGCATGAAACATCTTCCAGTTAGTGTGTTCAAAGTTTGTTATATGAAGCGTTAGGGTCAAAATTGGCCCTGTCCCGGGTGACATTGATTTTCCTTATATGTGTTCATATTCTTTGTTCTATATAGTAAATTAGTCACATTTGAGGCTTAATTCTCAATACCACTGTTCTGGATGAATTACATGCTGTCATCAACATAATCTAAGTCAAATAAGGCCCAAAATATAATATGTTAGCCATCTACTTTTCAGAAATCTTCATTCTGTTTTTACACTGTTTAAATTCACCACTGAAAACTCCTGACTGCTGGTGGGTAGTACAGATACAACCCTTTCGCTACTTACCTTCCGCCAACAAATGATTTCCTGGAAAATACACAAAAAATAACTTTTAAAGTCATCCTGTAACACACAAAAACTACACACATGAAATAAATACACTTTAATTATGACCAATCAGACCAGAGAGAACTTAAATTGCAAACTCAACAAAGAAATTGGTATTGTGATACTTTCCTGCCACTAGTTATTATATGTAAAACAATTATTAAACTCTTGTTTTGCAGTCAAATGCAACATTAGCTTTCAATAGTCAATAGGTGGAAGATGTTTTTAACAAAATTAAAGAAATAAGACCAAACATATATCAGTAATAACAAAATCATTTGCCAGAAAATTATTTTATTTTCCAGGAATTTGCAATGAGTTGTTTAAAATGACATTATGATCATTTTCATTGTAAAGTAAATAAGCTGAATTGACTATATATTTCAAAAGACTGACTTTCAGAATTGTGATCGATTTAACAGTTAATATTGGAAAATATTTACAATGAAATAAAAATCTGCCTAAATAATAACTGTGTTCATTCATAAATTGAATATTACAGGTCAATTACAATAGATATTTACATTATGGGCCATGTGAGTTATTTGATGTCCAATCTAAGTAATTTATAAAACTGAAAGGAATTATGGCAAAATGTAAACTTGTTTTGATATTCACATGTTTACTACTAATGTACCTTTAAAATGGATGGGCATAATGTCAATTTAACTGTTGAAAACAATTTTATCATTATGGTTTCCAGTGACAAATAGTTTATATATTATTACATTCTAAAATGCACTCCTTTGCTTTTCCTTCTGAAAATACATGTATACACAAATTTTATGTATATTTCAGGCATTGCAGAATGAGAGAAGAAAGAAAGAAGAAGATGAGGCTGCTGACCACAGATGGGATAATCAGAGAAAGGTGTAAGTTAACAAAATGATTGATTAATCAGAGAAAAGTGTAAGTTTTTTTTTTTTCAGGCCCCAACTGGGTAACCCCATTTATTTCAAATAAAAGTGTAAGTTAACAAAACAATTGAATACTCAGAGAAAAGTGTAAGTTAACAAAGTGATTGATTAATCTGAGAAAAGTGTAAGTTGAGAAAGAGAAAAATGTAAGTTAACAAAACGATTGAATAATCAGAGAAAAGTGTAAGTTAACAAAGTGATAGAATAATTAGAGAAAAGTGTAAGTTAACAAAATGATAAAATAATCAGAGAAAAATATTAGTTAACAAAATGATTGAATAATCAGAGAAAAGTGTAAGTTAATGAAATGATTGAATAATCAGAGAAAAGTGTGAGTTAACAAAATGATTGAATAATCAGAGAAAAGTGTAAGTTAACAAAATGATAGAATAATCAGAGAAAAGTGTAAGTTAACAAAATGATTGAATAATCAGAGAAAAGTGTAAGTTAACAAAATGATTGAATAATCAGAGAAAAGTGTAAGTTAACAAAATGATTGAATAATCAGAGAAAAGTGTAAGTTAACAAACTGATTGGATAATCAGAGAAAAGTGTAAGTTAACAAAATAATTGAATAATCAGAGAAAAGTGTAAGTTAACAAAATAATTGAATCACAGGCACTAGATACAATTAATTTACCTCTATATGCTCATAATTCTATACATAAAGAATCTTTATATGTAGTATTATGAGCATATAGAGGTAAATTAATTGTGTTTAGTGCCTGTGGATTGAATAGTCAGAGAAAAGTGTAAGTTAACAAAATGATTGAATAATCAGAGAAAAGTGTAAGATAACAAAATGATTGGATAATCAGAGAAAAATGTAAGTTAACAAAATGATTGGATAATCAGAGAAAAGTGTAAGTTCACAAGAGGTAAATTAATTGTGTCTAGTGCCTGAGGATTGAATAATCAGAGAAAAGTGTAAGTTAACAAAATGATTGAATAATCAGAGAAAAGTGTTAGTTAACAAAATGATAGAATATTCAGAGAAAAGTGTAAGTTAAGAAAATGATTGGATGATCAGAGAAAAGTGTAAGTTAACAAAATAATTGAATCACAGGCACTAGACACAATTAATTTACCTCTATATGCTCATAATTCTATATATAAAGAATCTTTATATGTAGTATTATGAGCACATAGAGGTAAATTCATTGTGTCTAGTGCCTGTGGATTGAATAATCAGAGAAAAGTGTAAGTTAACAAAATGATTGAATAATCAGAGAAAAGTGTAAGTTAACAAAATGATAGAATATTCAGAGAAAAGTGTAAGTTAACAAAATGATTGAATAATCAGAGAAAAGTTTAAGCTAAAATTATAGAAAAAGTGTAAACTAACTAAATGATTGAATATTCAGAGAAAATTGTAAGTTAACAAAATGATTGAATAATCAGAGAATGGTATAAGCTTAGTTACAATCATAGAAAAGTGTAAACTAACAAAGTGATTGAATAATCAGAGAAATGTGTGAGTTAAAAAAAATAATAAAATAACGATAGGAAAGTGTATGTAAATAACATGATTAATTAAGAGTATGAAAGTGTTAGATGTTGCCATGATTTGATAACAAGAGGAAAGTGCGACTTAACAACATGATCTGATAAGCAAATGAGAGTTTAAGTTAACAAATGTTAAATCAGAGATAAGTGTAAGTTAAAATGATAGAATAATCAGACAAAAAGAGTAGTTTTCAAAATGATTATACATGTATTTAATTGAATCAAAAACAAGTTTAAGTTTTAATTAATAAATTGTTCGGTTAGTATACAACATCAGCTTAAGAATCATGTACTTCTGTCAAACATATATTGATATAGCAAAGAATAAATAAATCAATAACAGCATCTTAAATCATTGTATTGAGCCTAAGCTGCATTTTCAAACGGAATTTTAGTTCATGCTTTAAATGGAACAAATTGTTTTTATATCTTGGTTCATACATTGCATGGAACAATTTTTTTAATTTTTATGCCTCCACAAAGTGGGGTGCATATAGCGTTGCACTTGTCCATACGTCTGTCCATACGTCCCAAAATCTTGTGAACGCAACTCCTCTTAAACCTGATGGTAGATTTTGCATAAACTTCCAGGGATGAACAACCTTAATGTGTAGATGGTAGTAAAGAAAGGAATTTTTGCTGCGACCAAATTTAACAGAATTATGGCCCTTTGTTGATTTTTTCACTATATACTATGTAGAAATTTTGTGAAAGCAACTCCTCTTAAACCGGATGGCAGATTTTGCTTAAACTTCCGGGGATGAACAACCTTAATGTGCAGATGGTAGTTAAGGAAGGAATTTTTGCTGCGACCAAATATAACAGAATTATGGCCCTTTGTTGATTTTTTTCATTGTATACCATATAGAAATTTTGTGAACGCAACTCCTTTTAAACTGGATGGCAGATTTTGCTCAAACTTCAAGGGATGAACAACCTTAATGTGTAGATGGTAGAAAAGGAAGGAAGTTTTGCTGCGACCAAATTTAACAGAATTATGGCCCTTTGTTGATTTTTTCACTATATACCATATAAATGTTGATAGTGGGGGCATCCGTGTCCTTTGGACACAGTTCTAGTTTATCTATGCAATGGTTCATATTTTACCAATGAATAGGCTTTTGAAATAGATTATCATTTGAGAATTTCACAAAGATGGAGATTATTTGAGTTTTATTCTGTTTACATACTTGTATGATTTTCATTAATATTTATTGTAGGGCAAATGATGCTTTCCTGAGAAGATTTGAAAACAAGAGTAAAAAACTTGCTGGTGCAGGTGATTATTTCTTTTTTTTCCAATATTGAACCATTTACCTACAGAATTTCTAAAATTGATTTGTCCTAGTTTGAATTTGGAATTCAGTGTTAAAAGTTGCATGCCTCCAGATCAGCCAAAATATTTAAAAAATTAAAAAAATCAAACATTAGAAAAATGTAATATGAATTTAAGAAAACTTAAAGATTTAATTAATGATTTGCATGATATAGTAATTAATGATTGCTTTTGCAGTATTAATCACCATTAATTTTCTACTGTGTTTACTGTAACTCATGCAGGTTTGGTTAATTTTTGCATATTTTGACACCTTTCTGATAATTTACGCAGACTGTAAGCACTGTTTGCAATGCTTAAATTACTGTCATTGTTTGCATTGTTTGCTTCACAATATTTTACTTTTAAATATATTTTCAAAACTTTCATGAAAATTATCATGGATTTGGAGGCATTTCAATGTAAAAAAATAAATATTAAGCTACCATCACATGGTGTCTATACCATGTGACATTTCATGATCTGCATGGGGTAAAATGTGGAGGTTTGCCTGCCTCTATTCTTTTGGTAGAGGCAAATCACATGGTTCAAGCAGGTTAAGTGTTAAAGGGACTCCACTGAGGGTTTTTTGACATGATTGAACTGGTAATATTTTTTCAAAATTATTGTTCCATTTGATGTATGTCTAGACCAATAAGTTGTGTGCAAAATTTCAGATCATTTGCTCACTCTGTTTTTTCCAAAACAACTGTTATAATTGTGAAATATGACCCAAAATTTTATAGTGCTGCAGCGCATTCCACACAAATCGGGTTGTGAATAGCACAAAAATATGATTTTCAATTTACATCTGTGTATATTTCTTATAATTATATTTTGAATGTCTTTAAATTTAAAGTTTCTCAGCTGACCAATGTAAGTTTTTACCTTTTGGACCTCAGTGGAGTTCCTTTAAGATATTTAATCAATTCAAATTATTTATTAAGAAAATGTGCTGTTTCTATCCAGTACTGAGACAAGTGGAGGGTGCTGCCCCTTGGACAGCCCTTGCTGAATATTGCTTATCATGCTGTGAACTAAAATGGAGATGGCAATTGAAGCTAAAAAAATCGTCTTTTTATATAATATCTGATTTTATGCCTATAAGGCAGTTTTTTTATGATTTTGGTAAGTATTGTGTAGGAGTGCATTAATAAGTTAGCCAGGTATTCATGATTTCCTGGTTACAAAGCTTATGATTGCATATATAAACAACTTCATAAATGATAAAAAATTTTCTTTTCTGCTCATATAAGTTTGAATATAGAAATCAATATTCTTCATCAGGGTATACTTGTTTACAGGAAAAGAATGGTTTTACTCATCAATCTTATGTAAGTGACTTTATAATTGAGCCGCACCATGACAAAATCAACATAGTGTGTTTGCGACCAGCATGGATCCAGACCAGCCTGCGCATCCACACAGTCTGATCAGGATCCATGCTGTTGACTATCAGTTTCTGTACTTGTTATAGGGTTTGTAAGCGAACAGCATGGATCCTGATCAAACTGCGCAGATGCGCAGACTTGTCTTGATCCATGCTGGTCGCAAACCCATTATGTTGCTTTTGTCATGACGTGGCTCATATATGATTTAACTTTGCATGTATTTTAAGTCACACAATCAACAAGCAGACAACCTACACAGAGCACATCAACACCAGTGAATTCAGAAAGACTCCAACCAACAGGTGCTGCAAGAAGTGAAGTATCGGTTGATATAGAAACCAGTTCGTTTGAAGACCCACACGATGGACTCGGTCAAATGGAATCGCAAAGGTTGAGGCAGCTGGCAGGAATATTTCCACAGTATTCAGAATCCGAACTTTTGGAAATATTAAAACAGGTTGAATTCTCATTAGATTCAGCCGTGGCTATTTTACAAGACTGATCGCCAACGGAGATGTTGATATATACATGTAATTGTTAAAATAGAAACTGTGATAATCGTTACTTATCTGAAATGTCATGTACTAAATTTGTTTAAAGCTAATTCTAAAGTTTATAGTGCCTTGTAATGCACTTTTAGGAAATTGTTTTATAGATATGTATGTATTCTACAGGCTTGACAAACAAAATGACAATGTGTGATATACTTATTGTATGCATTGGTAGCTTGTAGGTTCAAAGTTCTTCCTATTTCTTATATTATTATGTTCTCCACAGGCTTGAAAAACAATATGCCTTATATGGAAGTTTGTGATATACAGTCTGGGTTATTTCCCGTATATAAAGTCTGCATAAGAAACCCGTAGGTTCAAACTCCTGTCTAATGTTATATAATTATGTACCCCACAGGCTTGAAAAATCAATAGGATAGCCATTTATTTATGGTCTCCGCCGGAAACAGTTTTGTAAGATGCATTTTACCTTTGCAAAGTTATTTAAATTATGTTCATAACAGGCTGATGGATTCAATAGTGTGAGCTTCATTTCTTGAACACTACATGTTGAATCCTTCAATTGTTATTCTTAGTCAAACACTCTTCACTTGAATCCCTCAACTGCAATTCTTTGTCAAAGACTACATTGGAACCTCTTGACTGTAATTCTTAGTCACAGACTCTACACTTGAACCCCTCACCTGTATTTCTTAGTCATAAACTATACACTTAAATCCCTCTACGGTAATACTTAGTCAAAGACTCTATACCTAAACTCTGAGTCTAGACGCTACACTTAAATCTCTCAATGGTAATTCTTAGTCAAAGACCATACTTAAAGTCAGGACGCTACTTTTGCATATTTTTACCATGAATATTGAAAAATCAGTCCTAAATTGCAAATAACATGTAAATTATTACTTGAATTTTTAACTCACCTGTCACAAAGTGACAGGGTGAGCTTTTGTGATCGCTTTTCGTCCGTCTGTTTGTCCCTCCGTCAACTTTTACTTTAAAAGCCAACTCCTTATTAACCACTTAGCCAATTTCATCCAAACTTCACAGGAATGTTCCTTTGTTAGTCAGCCAATTTCATCCAAACTTCACAGGAATGTTCCTTTGGTAGTCACCTTTAACAGTTGTTCAAAGAATTTTATTCCATGCAGAACTCTGGTTGCCATGGCAACTGAAAGAAAAAACTTTAAATATCTTCTTTTAAAAAACCCAAAGAGCTAGAGCTTAGATATTTGACATGAAACATCTTCTAGTGAGTGTCTACCAAGTTTGTTCAAATGAAAGCCCTGGGGTCAAAATTGGCCCCGCCCTAGGGGGTCAATGATTTTCCCTATATGCACATAGTTAAAACTTAAAAGATCTTCTTTTAAAGAACCCAAAGCGCTAGAGCCAAGATATTTTGCATGAAACATCTTGTAATGAGTGTCTTCCAAGTTTGTTCAAATAAAAGCCCCGGGTCAAAATTTGCCCTGCCCCAGGGGGTCATTGATTTTCCCTATATGCTTGTACATGTTGTAGTAAAAACTTAGAAATAAAATCTTCTTATATAGAACTAAAAGAGCTACAGCTAAATTATTTAGCATGAAACATGTTCTAATGAGTGTCTACAAAGTTTGTTCAAATAAAAGACCTGGGATCAAAATTTGCCCTGCCCTGGGGGTAATTGATTTTCCCTATATGTATGTAGTAAAAACTTAAAAGATTTTCTTTTAAAGAACTCAAAGAGCTGAAGCTAAATTATTTAGCATGACACATGTTCTAATGAGTGTCTACAAAGTTTGTTCAAATAAAAGCCCTGGGATCAAAATTTGCCCTGCCCCGGGGGTCATTGATTTTCCTTATATGTGTTTAGCAAAATCTTACAAATCTTCTTTGAAATAACCCAAATAGCTAGAGTTTAGATATATAGCATGAAACATCTTCTAGTAAGTGTCTACAAAGTTTGTTCAAATAAAAGCCTTGGGGTCAAAACTGGCCCCACCCCAGGGGTGTCATTGTTTTTAACTTTATATGTATATAGTAAAAACTTAAAAAGTTTTTTTTAAAAAAACCCAATGAGCTACATGTAGAGCTTAGATATTTAGCATGAAACATCTTCTTATGGGTGTCTACCAAATTTGTTCAAATAAAAGCCCTTGGGTTAAAATTTGCCATTGTTTTTCATCATATGTGTGTAGTAAAAACTTAACATCATGAAACATCTTCGAATGAGTGTCATCCAAGCTTGTTCAAATAAAAGCCCTGGGGTTTAAACTGGCCCCGCTCCGGGGCCCTATATACAGGTGAGCTCTAATGTTGTTGGTATATTAAACATCATAAGGAAGTATTTATTTGTAGGTTTTATCATATAATATGTACTTTTGACAACAATTGTACACATGAATGTCATAACAGTGTTTTTAGCTCACCTGTCACAAAGTGACAGGGTGAGCTTTTGTGATCGCTTTTCGTCCGGCGTCCGTCATCTGTCTGTCCGTAAACTTTTACTTTAAATGACATCTCCTCATAAACCACTAAGTCAATTTCATCCAAACCTCACAGGAATGTTCCTTTGGTGGTCACCTTTAAAAAATGTTCAAAGAATTTAATTCCATGCAGAACTCTGGTTGCCATGGCAACCGAAAGAAAAAACTTTAAATATCTTCTTTTAAAAAACCGTAAGAGTTAGAGCTTAGATATTTGGCATGAAACATCTTCTAGTGAGTGTCTACCAAGTTAGTTCAAATAAAAGCCCTGGGGTCAAAATTGGCCCCGCCCCAGGGGGTCATTGATTTTCCCTATATGCATATAGTAAAAACTTAAAAAATCTTCTTTTAAAGAACCCAAAGAGCCAGAGCTAAGATATTTAGCACAAAACATCTTCTAATGAGTGTCTACCAAGTTTGTTCAAATGAAAGCCCTGGGGTCAAAATCGGCCCCGCCCCAGGGGGTCATTGATTTTCCCTATATGCATATAGTAAAAACTTAGAAAATCTTCTTTTAAAGAACCCATAGAACTAGAGCTAAGATATTCAGCATGAAACATCTTCTTATGAGTGTCTACCAAGTTTGTTCAAATAAAAGCCCTTGGGTCAAAATTGGCCCGCCCCAGGGGTCATTGATTTTCCCTATATGCATATAGTAAAAACTTAAAAAATCTTCTTTTAAAGAACTCAAAGACCTAGAGCTAAGATATTCAGTATGAAACATTTTCTAATGAGTGTCTACCAAGTTTGTTCAAATAAAAGCCCTGGGGGTCATTGATTTTCCTTATATGTGTAGAGCAAAAACTTAAAAATCTTCTTTGAAAAAACCCAAATAGCTAGAGTTTAGATATTAAGCATGAAACATATTCTAGTAAGTGTCCACAAAGTTTGTTAAAATGAAAGCCCTGGGGTCAAAACTGACCCCGTACGGGTGTCATTTATTAACTATATGTGTATAGTAAAAACTTAAAAAATCTGCTTTTAAGAAACCCAAAGAGCTAGAGCTTAGATGTTAAGCATGAAACATTTTCTTATGGGTGTCTATCAAGTTTGTTCAAATAAAAGCCCTTGGGTTAAAATTGGCCCTGCCAGGGGGGTGGGGGGGGTGATGGTAGAGGGGGCTTTATACAGGTGAGCGACTTCAGGGCCATCATGGCCCTCTTGTTTATTCTTTTCATAAAATCTTTGTACATTTTTCTCAATTTTGATTTTCTTGATATATTTTTGGCTAATCTGGAGGCATGTAGCTGTAATTTGTCGGTATATTATACATTGTAAGGATATAATTTGTATGTTTATTCACATAATATGTTTTTTTGACAACAATTGTACACATGAGTGTCATAACAGTGTTTTTAGCTCACCTGTCAAAAGTGACAGGGTGAGCTTTTGTGATCGCTTTTCGTCCGGCGTCCGTCCGTCATCCGTCTGTCCGTAAACTTTTACTTTTAATGACATCTCCTCATAAACCACTAAGCCAATTTCATCCAAACTTCACAGGAATGTTCCTTTGGTTGTCACCTTTAAAAAATGTTCAAAGAATTTAATTCCATGCAGAACTCTGGTTGCCATGGCAACCGAAAGAAAAACTTTAAATATCTTCTTTTAAAAAACCGTAAGAGTTAGAGCTTAGATATTTGGCATGAAACATCTTCTAGTGAGTGTCTACCAAGTTTGTTCAAATAAAAGCCCTGGGGTCAAAATTGGCCCGCCCCAGGGGGTCATTGATTTTCCCTATATGCATATAGTAAAAACTTAAAAAATCTTCTTTTAAAGAACCCAAAGAGCTAGAGCTAAGATATTTAGCATGAAACATCTTCTAATGAGTGTCTACCAAGTTTGTTAAAATAAAAGACCCGGGGTCAAAATTGGCCCTGCCCCAGGGGGTCATTGATTTTCCCTATATGCATATAGTAAAAACTTAAAAAATCTTCTTTTAAAGAACCCATAGAACTAGAGCTAAGATATTCAGCATGAAACATCTTCTGATGAGTGTCTACCAAGTTTGTTCAAATAAAAGCCCTGGGGTCAAAATTGGCCCCGCCCTGGGGGTCATTGATTTTCCTTATATGTGTAAAGCAAAAACTTAAAAATCTTCTTTGAAAAAACCCAAATAGCTAGAGTTTAGATATTAAGCATGAAACATCTTCTAGTAAGTGTCCACAAAGTTTGTTCAAATGAAAGCCCTGGGGTCAAAACTGACCCCGTACGGGTGTCATTTATTAACTATATGTGTATAGTAAAAACTTAAAAAATCTGCTTTTAAGAAACCCAAAGAGCTAGAGCTTAGATGTTTAGCATGAAACATTTTCTTATGGGTGTCTATCAAGTTTGTTCAAATAAAAGCCCTTGGGTTAAAATTGGCCCTGCCGGGGGGGGGGGTGATGGTAGAGGGGGCTTTATACAGGTGAGCGACTTCAGGGCCATCATGGCCCTCTTGTTTATTAGTTCCCTACCGGTTTACCGGAGGGAACTTTAGGTTTACCCTCCGTCCGTCTGTCCGTCCGTCAGTCCGTCCGTCCACAAAACTGGATCCCGCGATAACGCAAAAAGTACTGAAAATATTTTAATGAAACTTGATATATGGATAGATGGCAGTATGGAGATTATGCACGTCTTTTTCTTTTCTTCCTATGTGGAAAATTCTGGTTGCTATGGCAACAAATAGACTGAAAATTTGGCAAATTTTACACATAACCTGGATCCAGTGATAACACAAAAAGTACTGAAAATATGTTTATGAAACTTGACATATGGGTAGATGGCAGTATAGAAATTATGCACATCCTTTTTTATCTTCCTTTGTGAAAATTCTGGTTGCTATGGCAACAAATAGACTGAATTTCAAGATTTCTGATTCTAGTTTTTAAGTTTTTTCACTATAAGTACTTTATTTCTTAAGGTATTTTCTTCAAACTTTAAATATAAGTTGCTTGTCATCAACCACATCATATGTGACAAGGTTTACAACTCTAGCACAAAATTTATCAGAATTACCTCCCTT